TATATTTACAAATCAAAATCACATTGTGCATGCTTTAGTTATAAATTATCTCATACATCAACCTCTTTTTTATTTTCCCATTGAAGACAGGAGGAAACTGGAGCTCTGAGAGGCAAGTTAACTGGCACAAGGTCCCTCAGCACGTAGATGGTGGACTCAAAATTTAAGCTCATTTCCAAGTGCCTCCAGCCTGAGAACTGTGCTATTGGGCCCAAAGTGGAAGGCACAGTGCTTGGAGGGGGTGCCAGCAGGGTGCAGGGTTCGCGGAGTGGCCACGGCCAAGTGTGAACTGTTGTGAGTGTTGTGTTGTGATGGCTGATGTTTACTGAATCCTTCCTAGGTGCCAGGCACCGTGCTAAGGGTTTTAATAATAATGACAATGGCAAATATTCACATGGCAGTGGATCCTGACCTGTTTGGCATCAGGGACCAGTTTTGTGGAGACAATTTTTCCATGAATGGAGGTGGTGGGGGGTTGGGGATGATTCAAATGCATTACATTCATTGTGTACTTCATTTCTATTATTACTACACTGTAGAATATAGTGAAATTATACAATTCGCCATCAATGCAGAATCCATGGGAATTCCTCGGTTTGTTTTCCTGCATCCAGATGATCCCATCTGGGGGTGATGGCTGACAGTGGCACCCAAGTGTGTTGCTTATGTCTGGCCTACTTCATAATCTCGCTTTGATTGCTGCCACTGTAGAAAACCCTGCTTCAAGGGCCCGGGATTTAGCTCAGTGGTTCAACTGCCTGCCTCGCAAGCACAAGGACCTGACTTCCATCCCTGGTACCAAAAAAGAAAAAGAAGCCTCTGCTTCACAAACATAGATGATGGAAATGGAAGCAGATTTTTCAATGCTTTTGTGGCTACCTCAGGACTCCTGCCTTGACCTTTATCCAGAACATATGGAGATTCAAAGTCGTCTCATGCATACTTTTAAGGCCACTGTCATTTGTGATCTGAAGCATTGATCCTCTTCTAGTGTGGAAAAGTTGGTTCATCTGGCTTATTCACAAATGGGTCATGGACCTATTCCTTCCCAATGTGGGGACCCTTTGTGGTTGGGAAGTAATGCTCAAACTCAAACTTGCTAGTACAGATATGTGATCATGGGAGAAAGAAGGCCCTCACTCAGTCTCTTTCAAAATCTCTAAACTTGAAAAAGTGTCCAAAATCCCAATTCATTTGCTGCCCCATAATTCAAGTTTGGCTTTGAGTGCAGCCACTTAATCTACCAACTTGAACACAGTTATCATATCCCCCTGAAGTGACAGATGGAGTTCATTGAGCAGGTTGAATGCTACACGAGTAAGCAAGTTTTCAACCCATCCCACGTCATGGAAATGTGCTGCCAGTGATGACTGTCTTTCTAAGAGAAATCTCTGAAGCATTTCTCATAACTTAAAAACTCTGGCTGGTGATCTACCTTTAGAAAGCCATCTCCCTCCTGTATAGAAGAGAAGATGTATGTGTTCTGCTTTCATCTCTTCACGGAGGTACACAAACAGATGTGAGTTAAGGGTGTATACTTTAATATGGTTTATAATTTAAATCACATCCTGCACAATGCTGTGAGGTGCAGGTGACATTTTTCGGTTAGCCAGCATTTCTCTGTGGATGACACAGTGTGCAGACTCCCATTGAGAAGTGATCTCTTTGACCTGAGCAGTGAAACCACAAAGCTGTCCAGTCATGGCAGCTACGCTACCTGTGCATATACTAATAGCAAAATGACCAGTTCAGCTTCCCGATATATAATCATTCAAAATAGTTCTGGAGCTTTGGTGGTGCCTGGCAGCAAAAATGCACAGAACATATCCTCATGCACATCTTCCTCAAAGATATAGTGTACAAAAACAAGCAGCATTGTTAAATGAAAAAATGGAAATAAAATGTTTGTAAATGGGGAGGGGAGGAGGGGGTGAAGGGAGGGCAGGGACAAGGGGAAAAATGAGAACCAAGACTTGTCATGTAAAGGTACAAGATCCCAATGATGACTGTAACTGTACTGTATACCTAACATGTACCAATAAACTCAATGAGGAAAAAAAAAACAACAAAAACTAAAATTTTGCAAGCACTGAATAAAATGTGTGGTGAAAAAAACAAACAAACAAGCATTGTTGCCTTGTGGTCAATGCGTGTAGACTGGTCAGCCTGGGTTGTATACCACGGTGATTCATTACTCCTGTCTAACAGCTGTGGCTCAAAATCCTCTGCTACTTCATCAGTGCATACAGTTCTGCTTCTCGTTATGCTCTGTCACCTTTTGAACTGCAGCCTTTCCTAAAAGCTCATGACAAATGTTCTTAGCAGGCAGGACCAACTCTTTACCTAGAGAAAAGGGCTTCTTATCTATAGCAATTTGGTTGGCTACTAAGAACGATGTTCTCAGTGCAGACCCATTTGATGAAGTGGTGACTTTCAGTAAATGCTCTGTTCTTTGACTTCCCATGTTTGGTTTTGTTTTTTTCTCTTACTTGTTTTTCAATGTCGGGTGCTTAGTATCCACGTGGCAAAGTAATTTTGAAGGTTTCATGGCTTTATTGGATAGCCAGTTACTACAGTTTTGGCATTTTGTTTTGAGACAGGATTTCCTATGCAGTTCAGGCTGGCTTAAGCTCACTATTGGCTCAGGCTGGTCTCAAATTTGCAGCAATTCTGCCTTAGCCTCCTGAGTGCTGGGCATACAGACATATGCCACCATGCTTGGCTTCCACATATTGTTTACAGTGGATTTGAAGAATGTGAATTGCCTGCTGCAATGAACCCACAATTGAAGTAGGGCGCATGGCATTTTCTTTTAAATGCAGCCTTATTTTTGTTGGCAGCCTTAGAGTTCTCTGCAATCTCATCATGGGATCTCCCCCTGTTTTAAACTCTCCAGTGATTTCTTTCTCATTTTGGCTAGAGTTAGCTTGTGAGTTTACCAGAATTGTGGCTGAGACACTGTGCAGCTCAGGAAAGAGGCATAGAGAAAAGTGGTAAATAAAATAGTGGGCACACACAGACCAAGTCAGATTCTGCCTTAAGGTCGGCCACAAGATGTAGCTTGTCGCCTGCCACTCACTGATAGGATTTTGATGTGAATCTGCAAGCAACTGACTTATTTTGGTCTCTGTGCAGTCAAATCTCTCTGCTAGTGTGATTCTGTGTTTGCAGTTGCTCCTCAGTGCTAGCATCACCACTTCAGCTCCATCTCAGATCATTAGACATTCAATTCTCATAATCAGCCCACAACCTGGGCTGCTCACATGTGCAGTTCACAGTAGGGTTCACACACCCATGAAAATCTAATGCTGCTGTTGATCTGAGAGGAGGTGGAGCTCAGGTGGTAATGCTAGTGATGAGAAGGTACAAATACAGATGAAGCTCCACTTGCTAACCCTCTAGTTTACCTCCTGCTGTACAGCCTACTTCCTAACAGGCCACTGACTGGTACTAATCTGTGGCCCTACCATATGGCATTCAGCAAGAGTGGGCCCTAGCTACAGTGCTGATACCTGGATTAATTCACTTGCCACCAGTGTCCTCACGAGGCCCCGAGGTGCAGCCATGAGTGCCAGCTCGTAGATGGCTGGGACTTGGACCCGGTGTCTGGCTCCCTACACTGCTCCCCCATATGTCCTGTATAGAGATACACAGCAATCCACTTCCACAACAATCCAATGCTGTAGGAAGAAATGTCACCCACCTCACAAATAGGGAAACTGAGGCCAAGGCTCACAGAACAGCAGTCCCTGTCTGCCCCATCACACTGCGGACCTTGTTCTCATCCCACAGGAGTCTCCAAAGTGCCTTGGCCGGGGTCCCAGTGCTGGGTGTGTCTGGCCAGCCCTAGGCCCTTAGTCTCCCTCCCCTTCCTGAACTTTACCTTTGGTTTATTTCATTTCTGCTTGCTGACTAGTAAGAGCTCATTGTACATTATGTAAATTGATGCTATTTTTCCCTGCCTGGATTTGGGTTGTTTTTTCTTTGCTTTGATTTGCTTACTGCAAGTGTTTCAGATTTACATAACTTATCTATCATTTATTTTGTAGATTCAAGATTTCCAGTCATGGTTAATAAAGCCTCTAGGCAGGGCTGGGGCTGTAGCTCAATGGATAGAGCACTTTGCTAACATGTGTGAGGCTGTGAATTTGACAGCTAGTACTGCAAAAATAAAAAAATAAAATAAAAAAGGCTTGTTGGGAGGTGGCAGTGTCCTTTCACCTCCTTTCCCCTACTAGGCCTGTCCTCTACTGTATGTTGAAGGGAGAAACTGATTTCTCCTTATCGACTCATAACTCTTTGAGTTGTTTTGTTTTTTTATTTTTATTTTATTTTATTTTTTTGGTACTGGGGATTGAACTCGGGTCCTTGTGTTTGCGAGGCAGGTGGCAGAACCACTGAGCTAAATCCCTGGCCCCTAGGCTCTATATATTATAGCTATTAACTCTGTTGTGCAGAGTGTGACAAAATTTTTCCCACATATTTTGTCTTGCAAATGTTTTAAAAGTCTAATGTAAGGCTGGGCATGGCGGTGCATGCCTGTGATTCCAGTACTTGGAAGGCTGAGGCAGGAGGATCAGGCCAGCCTGAACTACATAGTGAGATCCTATCTATCTCAAGCAAAGAAACAAACAAATCTTATACAAGTACTGTACGTAAGCAGCTGTATGGTGCATGCCATTCCAGCAAGCTGGGAGGCTGTAGCCACAGGATCGTAAATTTGAGCCCAACCTGACCATCATTTTATAAAAGGGGGGGGTGAGGTTTAGCTCAGTGCAAAGCCCTTAGTTTCAATCCCCAGTACCATAAAAGAAAAAAAAAAAAGTCCTTAACTCCTGCCAGTTGACTTAAAGGCTTTCCTAGATGTTATGCAAATGTGTCCTAGGCACACTCTGATCCGTCCACGTGGGTCTTTCTCCCTGGGAGTCCTTATCTCGAAGCTTCTCCCCTCCCACAGTCAGGTGCATAAAAGGTTGCAGGGGCTGCTCTGCAGTGTCACCATGTCCCTGCTGTGCCTGCTGCTGCTGGCCCTGGCCCTGGCGGCCTCCCCTGGTGCCCAAGGAGCCTGCCCGGTGCCCGCTGACCTCAAAAACGAGGACGGAACGCGCATATGCGCCAAACTCTATGACAGGAGCGACCCCTACTAAGACAACTGCTGCGCAGGCGCTGAGCTGTAGGTGGAACCAGGCGCGGACCTGCCCTTCCTGCCCTCTGACTGGGCCAACACGGCGTCCTCACTCGTGGTGGCCCAGCACTGCGAGCTCACGGTGTGGTCCCGCCCGGGCAAGGGAGGCAAGACGCGCAAGTTCTCCTCCGGCGCCTACCCGCGCCTGGAGGAGTACCGCAAGGGAATCCTGGGGGACTGGTCCAACGCCATCTCCGGGTCAGCCCTGCCACCCAAGACCCCGAGACTCCAACTCAGACTCCAGAGCCTATCCTGGAGACTCCCTCTCAGAGGGCACCCCCAAACCAAGCCTCCTGTGCCACCCAAGCCCCCAACCCACTGCTGTCCCAGACTCAGGGGCTCACCACCCCAGCCTCCATTCTGGGAGCCCCCCACCATTTCCCACCTGCCCATATACCCTTCCCAGGGAAGGGCACCTGGCCCCCTTGGGGAGCTCACCAGCTCCCTGCCCTCTGGAGCCCCTGGCCTAAAGCCAGCCCAGCCCACCCAAATCATCACATCTGAAAGCCCCTAAACCCCACTCTGGGACTCTCAGACACTAAAAGTGACCCAGACCCCAAGATCCCAGGCCCAGTTCTAGGGCATCCAGTCTAGTCTGGCCTACAAGATCAGCCTTAACCCCTCAAACCAGTCCCAGGGCCTCCAGCCCCAACCCTGGAAGCCCCAGAGCTCAGCCTGCCCTCATCTTCCCAAACAGCCATGCCCAGATCCAGCTGTAGTATCCTCCATACCAGCCCCAGCTGCCCCGCTCTGAGCTCCAAGAGCCCTCAGCTGCAAACTCTCACAGCCCTACCACGAGCTCCTGAATTTGAAGCCCCCCCAACACCCCATACCCTCACACCCTCTCTCTCTCTCTCCCTCTCTGTCTCTCTCTGTTTTTTTTTTCTCTCTCTCTCTCACTCTTTGAGACAGGGTCTCATTATGTAGTTGAGTCTGACCTGGAACTCACAATGTAGCCCAGGCTGGTCTTGAACTCACAGCGATCCTCCTGCCTCAGCCTCCTGAGTGCTGGGATTATAGGCTCGCGCCAGCATGCCTGGGCGACCATTTCTTTTTATGTTGCAGATGCTACTGATGCCTTGAGATCCCTCCTCCGCCGTTCCCCTACAGTGCTGAGCCCCTTACCTGGCCTAACTCTCTGCTGCACCCCCTGGCCTGGGAGCAGAGACCTTTCTTTCTACCTGCCTGCCACCCTGCCTTTCATGCAATATAGCCCTTGTGAAGTTGTCCCCATTGTCACCTGTTTATGCTTAGAACCCAAATCTACACAGCCCATGGGAAGGACATGCCAGGAGTGGGGACACTGCCACAGATCCTGACCTGGAGTTAGGTGTGCACAAAGATACTCACACAAGGACAGTTTGTGGGATGGGCGGGCATTGCTGGCTCAATGTTAAGCACTAAAAATCTTCCCACTCTTTGGTAATAGCCTTTCCCTGAGCTGTTCTGGCCTCCCAGAGGGAGCTGGACCCTCCCATCCAAGGTTGGGACAGTAGGGGCACTTTTAGGACTAGGGCACTGTCCCAAGCTAGGGCCAGGGTCTGTTCAGTTTTTTTTGTTGTTGTTATTTTTTAACTGAAGTTTAAACGCAGGTCCTTTGTACCAATCTACACCCCTGGCCTTTTAAAATTTTTATTTTGAGACAGGGTTTTACTGAATTGCCCAGGTTAGGTTTGAATTTGCAATCTTCCTGCCTCAGCCTCCCACCCAGCTGGGACTACAGGCAGGTGTCAGCATGATGGGCTTGTTACATGCTTTTAACCCCCCTCCCAGACACACAGAGGACATTTTGGTTCAATCTGTCATGTTTCTGTTCGGGTTGCATTCTGTGTTCCCAGTGCCTCCAGGGATGAGGACCCTAGAGAGGTGTCTGGGCTTAGGGACTCTGAGAGAATTAGAGAAGAGACCCAAGGGGTCCCGGATGAAAGGCAAGGGGACAGATCTGGGGCAATAACTGGCTGGAGGCAGGAGGGGATTTCAGGAATTCCTGAGAGTTCAGGTCTATGTACACAGAGTTCAGAGGTCAAGGTCAGTGCAAATGGTACAAGAGTGCTGGAGAATCAAGGATTGGGGGATGTGCTGATGGGATGTGAACTGAGAGAAGCTACAAGGAGCAGAGGCCAGAGAAGCACTCAGCGTCTTTGGGCTTGTGTGTATGCTTTCATTCAGTGAAGATTTATTGAGCACCTACTATCTGACAAGCTCTGAATTTGCAAGGAGTGGTCCCTGCCCTCCTGGAGCTCAGAAAACCAGAGTCAGACACAGGAGCAGGCGTGAAGAGGTCAAAGGAGAAGCCAAGGGCCAGGCCAAATGCAAGGACCAGAGTTGGGATGGAGGTGCTGAGAGATCGGGAAGGAGAGGGGTGGTGCTGAAGGGACACAGAGGAGCTAAATGGTCAAGAGAAATGCCAAGAGGTCAGAGAGGTGACAAAGGAACAGGGAGGAGCCAAGGACTAGGGACTTTTAAAGGCCAAGCAGGCGCTATGGGGGCAGGGAGGCACGGGGTCAGCCTGTCACTCCCTGAGCTGCACAGACACGGAGGAGTCGGTCACCCTTGTCCGCCGCAGCCCCCCGGGCTCCATGCGGTTCTTGGTCTTGTGCAGGAAGTGGATGAAGCGCACCCCAGGGCCGTACTGGCGGAATACGTGTGACACCTGTGTTAGGAAGCACCAGGGTTGGGAAGGGATATTTGTTAGGGACCCCGCAAGGTCCTGGGAAAGCAACCCCTGTCTCACCTGGATCCAGTGGCCGGCAGGGCCCCTCCCCGGGCTGCGGGGGGCCACGTGGTGCTGTGCGATGACCGTGCGGCGATCTGCTGCCAGCAGCCAGACGTGTAGCTCGTACACACACTGGTCCAGACGGCTGTCCTCATACCTGGAAGTGGGGCCCAGGCCTCAGCTGCCTCGCAGCCCACGTCCCTGCCCCACCCACTGACCTGTCCCTCAGCACACACTGGCTGGTGCCCAGGGAGCGTGACCCAGAGGGCGGTGCTGGCCACAGCAGTGACCCACACAGCCCCACACCCTGTCCTCAGGGGAGGCATAGTCCAGGGGGAGGCAGCCATGTCCCCCAGCAGGGACAGCCCGTGACAGCAGGGATGGCAGATGGAGGGCAGGCAGGGCACGCAGGGCACTGTAGCAAGTGCTGGAGAGCAGGGGGACTGACACCAAGGGAGGAAGGAACAGCCACAGCAAAGCCCAAAGACAGAAGAGGCCCGGCTGTTTCATGAAATGCTGAGAGCAGGAGCCGGAGAAGTAGGGCAGCTGGGCATGCAGCACCAAGGAGCCGGTACTCAGGGGACCAGCCGAGGAGGCTCTGGCGGCAGGACACGCACCAGTCCATGACGGTGACGTCAGGCTGCTCATCGTCCAGCAGTTCCTCCCACAGGCCCTCGGCTAGGAGGTTCACACACTGCTGCTTCACTGTCCAGCTGCAGAAGACGGTGGAGTGTTGGGGATCCGCACCGGGAGCAGCCCGGGGGCTCCTCAGGGAGCAGATCTGATCATGGCGCTCTCATAGCGATGACAGGTACATGCCTGCTCCCTCAGTGCCACCCAGCAGCCTTTGTAGCAAGTACATAACTGAGGTCTTGCAGAGCCAGGCGTGGTTCGCACACCCATGATCCCAGCACTCTAGGAGGCTGAGACAGGGGGATCCCAAGTTCAGTCGCAGCCTGGGCAACCTAGTGACTTGTGACTTAGTGTGACTCTGTCTCAAAGTAAAAAATAAAAACGGGGTAGGGATGTAGCACAGTGCAAAGGTCCTCGGTTCAGTCCCCAGCATGGGATTGGGGGAGGCGTCGGACTTGCCAAGGTCATGCCATAAAAAGTGGCAGAACCAGGATCCAAACCTGGGCACGCATGACTCTGGGCCCGTCACACCCTCTTATCCACTATAGATGAATGGAGGGCTCATGGTGGCCCTGGGTGACTTCCCCTCTCAGAGAAAGAGGCTGGAATAATAACAGTAACAATCATAGTTGCTATTTATGGAGCGCCTGACCTTGCTGGCCCCTAGGCTGCCAGTTGTAACAAGTATCTCTCCCACGCTAATCCTTTCTCTCCTATGCTAATTTTGGGACCCCCAGTGGGAAGCGGAGGTCCAGGGAGGCCAAGGCTGCTTCCGCAGTCCCACAGCAAACAAGCGGAGCGGGGAATCCACCGCGGTCCCACGTACCTGAAGTTCTGCTGGAGCGGTTCCGACCCAATGTGCCATCCTCGGAAGTTGCCTGGCGGTGGAGGAGGAAGGGTTACAGCGCTGCTCTGGTGACAGCCCTCCCCTGGCGGCCACTGACCCCGAGCTTACCCAGAGCCTCCAGGGGCTGGCGGGTGGGACCGGTCGGGGGTGCCGGCTGGTAAATGTTGATGCCTGAAACGCAGAGGGGAGGGACCTGATGGCAGCGCCCCGCACACGCTCCCCTCTCCCTGACTCGGGGTAGATGGAGGGCAAGAGCCTGTGTCAGCCCAACCCAGCCCCGCGGGAAGACTGAGTCAGGGCTCCCCGGGAATGGGGGGTGGCGATGTCCTGGGGAAGAGGGGCCAAGCTGTGAGGGGCTGCGATGAGTCAGGGGACATAGAGAGGAACCCTGAGAAATACGGGCAGGGGGAGAGAAGTGGGGGAGAAAGAGGGGGCGCCTCGGAGATGCCGGGCCAAGAGACAGGTAAAAGGGAGACGCAGGACAAAGACGCAGGGAGGAGGAGACCCAAGGGCGCAGAGGGTGCGGAGATGTGAAGAACAGAGGCCCAGAGACCGAGCTGGAGACCCAGGGAAGGGAACCAGGAAGAGGGAGCGCGGCCCGGGGCGTGCGCACCCTCGGGGTTGGGCGAGCGCAGCAGGTTGCGGTAGAGCGGCCTCCGCAGGAGCAGCAGCTTCCAGGTGACCCTCGGGGGCAGCAGCAGGCTCTCGCCCAGCGGCCCCCACTCGTCCAGCAGCAGCTGCCGGGCGTTGACCTCCGACGGCTCGGGCTGGGGCTGCGGGGGCTCGGTGGTCTCTGGGGTCGTAGGCGACAGCGGGGATGGCGGCGCTGGCGGTGAGGGCAGCGAAGGGGGCAGCTCCTGGGCTCTCTCGGGCCCCTCGGCCTCCATCCCGGCGCCGACCGCGGCTGGGTCCTTCGTCTCCTCCATGCTCAGGTGAGAGCGACTGGCCCGGCGAGGCAAACTCCGCAGTACCTGGCGAGAGGGAGGGGCGGCCGCACGGGAGGAGAGAGGCGGGGTGGGGGAGGATCCGGCCCGGGCCTCCTCCCTCAAACCCGGGCTCCAGGCCCCGCCTCCTCCTCTGACCCGGGCTCCAGGCCCCGCCTCTTCCACGGAACCGGGCTCCAGGCCCCGCCTCCTCCTCACTCCCAGGGTCCAGGTCCCGCCCTCTCCCTCAGACCCGGGGTCCCGTCCCACCCTCCTCCTTCAAACCTTGGGGTTAGGCCCCGCCTCCTCCCTCACACTCAGAGGTCCAGGACCTCCTGTTGTCCTCTCATTTTCCCATCCTTCCTGCCCCAGTTTCCCAGGGCCAGCTGAGGACCTGAGCACTGGCCCTGGGCAAGGGATGTGACAAGCTAATGCCAGGGCTCTGCTCGCTAATGAGGCTTGTCCGCCTCGTTAAGATCAGGCAGCAGGTCTAAAAGGCTAATTAGTGAAAACTGCTTCCTCCGTCCTCACTCTGGGGGCAATGGGGGTGGCTAGGGCTCCAATCTCTGCCACTTCTCCTCTGCCCTCTCTGTCCTGGAAGCAAGGTGTGGCAATCAGCAAAAGACCCAGCACCAGAGACTGGAGCCGGCAGTGGGGTTCCCAGGGCCCCAGACGAAGCAGAAGAGAAAGAAGCAGCAAGCATTGTTTTTTCAGGGTGTCCTTGCCACCACCCCACTCAGGCCTGGTCACAGGAAGTTTGGAGTGAGGGATGGGCGTGGCGGGGCAGGAGGTGGCTGTGGAGGAACCTGTAGGACCGGATGCCCATGGGCCACTTCCTGGGCCAGGTAAGGGGGACAGCATCGTTGAAGCACACTGTAGGGACGTCTGTGGGCCGGGGTGCTGGTCTGAGGGTTCTGACCATTTCAGGTCCTAACTGGTGAGCCAGGGAGACTAAGATTGCAGTTGGTAAGAGAAGGAAAGGTGACCAAAGCAGGCCAGAGGGCCCTGTGTACTCCCTGATGCCTCCAGCCCCACCTCGCCCCCATGATGAACCTGTGAGGGGTGCAACTGTGATTCCCACTTTACAGATGAGGAAACAGAGGCCACCGCCCAGGCCCGCAGCCTTACACTTCCACAGGAGCTTTCCACCCTGCATTCCCTGGGGGTGACTTCCGTGACACCGGGAGCAGAGCTCACGTAACTGAGGGCTGCTGGGTACCAGGTGCCGTCCCCAGGCCTGTAGGTTGGGAAATTCATTCAGCGTCACATCCATCCTAGGAAGGACGCATCAGATGAGGAAACGGAAGCACAGAGAGGGCTCGTTGCTCACCTGTGGTTGCACAGCTGGTAATGGTGAGTTGGAAACTTGGACATGGGGACAGAGAGTAAAATCAACCTGGGAGATGGTTCTATTTATTAAGTGTCTTGAACTCATCAACCTTTTACAGCCCTGCAGAAGTGGGAATGGGTGATAGAATCTCTGTTTACAGATCAGGGAACTGAGGCAAAAGAGGTGAGATGACCTGCCTCGGGGGAGTTGGGAAATCACCAGCACCCTGGGGGCAGTGGGACCCTGGGAGGGGCAACCAGCTCATCTGCATGTCAGGAGGAGACTTCCTGACCCAGAAGTCCCCAGAAGTTTCCCAGGAAGCTGGCAAAGCGCACAACACATCCATGACTGGAGACGCTCCCCTGGCCACCACAGCCCACACCTGTCCCACTGCCCACCCAGCTGCCCGGCCCTGTCATCCTCACTGTCATCGTCATGGGGGAGGACAAGGGAGTCAGAATCCAGGGCTGGGTGTGGCTCAGCTGTGACAGAAGTGCACGGAAGTCTGGGGGGGCAGGGGACCTCTCTTTTGCTTGCCCTGGCCTGGCTGTGGTTTGTGCGTCATCTCCTTCCGGCTGCCTTGCCTTGCTGTACTGAAAGCCAAACCCAGCCACTTAAAGCCTCTGTGGCTCCTGGTGCCTTCCAGAGAAAATTTCACCTCTTTGGTCGGCCTTCAAGGCCTTGGAGTTCTGGTCCCCGCCCTTGTGGCCTGCTCTGTCTTATGGCTTTTGCTCATGACATTCTCTCTAGCCGGGATGTCCTTGTCTCTCACCTATATCCCACATTTGTGGTTCCCAAGCGTCAGGGTATGTCAGAGTCATCCAGGGAGCTTATTAAAAATGCAGATTCCTAGGCCCACCCCAGGAGTCTAGGATGGGGCCAGAACCTATGGGACAACTTTTACTTAACCTGAGGGATCCAGGACCCAGCTTGTGCCCCAGAAGCCAGGTCGATTCCAGCTCAGATCCCAGACTCCCCTCTCTCCACTGGAAGATCAGGGAGACCCCAGTGTGGGGACCCAGCCTCAGCAGGCTCTTTCCCTAATTAGCTTGGGGCTGGGCAGCTGGCAGAGCATCCTCCCCAAAAGCGGAGTGTCACACATCATGCATGTGACAATGTGTGAGCAACGGTTTGGGAAAGGAGTTGGCAGCATCTTAGAAAAGGAACACGCTTCCACCTTCCACCCCAGCAACCCCGCGCCTGGACGAGGAAGGAGCCTGTGCTGGGCACTGTGCTTCCTCCCGAGCCTGAGCTGAGGGCACACTGGGCCAGGGCTGGGGTAAGGACGGTCTGAAGGCCGCGTGTTGAAGTCTTCGGCCCTGGCTCATGGCTGTTCAGAGGTGGGGCCTCATGGGAGGTGCCTGGTCATGGGGCTGTGCCCTGAGAGGACAGTGGGACCCCAGCCCCTTCCTCTTTTGTCCTGTCACTTCCCAGCCTTGAGCAGCTTTGTTACTCCACATGCTCTTCCTACCTGTGCTGCTGCCTCGACACAGACCCTTTTCTTTGAATGGGCCAACTGCCATGGCCTGAAATCATAAGCCAAAATAAACCTTTCTTCTTTTTAAGTTTATTGTCTGGGGAACTTTGTCACAGTCACGGGAAGCTGACTAACACAGTGATGGATTCAAACAGTGGAGCAGTGCCCAGGAAACTAGCAGGGTGTGGCAGTACACACCTGCAATTCTAGCACTTGTAAGGCTGAGGCAGGAGGATGGAGAGGTTGAGGCCAGCCTGGGAAATAAAGTGAGACCCTGTCTCAAAAAGAGAGAAGAAGGGAAAGGAGGAGGAGGAAATGGAGGAAGGGGAGGGGAGAGAGGAAAGGAAGGAAAAAAAGAGGCAAGCAGGGAAGGGAGGAAACTATCCAAACGTAAAATATCGATGAACCTGAAAATTGCTATGCGGAGTGACAAGAGCCGGCACCAAAGACACCCTGTCGTGTGATTCCATTTCTAAAAAAATTCTGGGAGAGGCAAAGCTAATGTCAAATCAAAGAGAGTGGGGCGGCGGTTGCTGAGGGCTGTGGGGATTAATGGCAAAGAGGCACAAGAGTTAACCTGCTGGGTTGATGAAAAGGTTCCTGAAAGTCTTCATTGTCGAGGTCATTGTGTAAGTGAAGACATTTATCAGACCTCATCTCCCTGTATATATATTACTATTATTGTTTTGTTTTGTGTTTTTGAGGAAGAGTCTTGCTATGTACTTAGATCAGGCTGGCCTTGAACTAACAACATAGCCCAGATGCCTTGAATTCACTGCGATTCTCCTGCCTTCGCCTCCAGAGTGCTGGGATTACTGGTGTGCGCCACCAGGCCCCTGCTCCCACTGCCTATTTTAAGTGGATGCATTTTATTATATAAACAAGAATGGAGTGGCTTTCTCCACATCCTAGAAAGGAAATGCGTACGCTCCTAGTAAGTAAGCACAGCAAGCTGTGGAGCTCACACGCTGCAGTGTGGGACAAGACGACGTATCTCACATGGCTCCGTCAGTCTCCCTGGGAAGACGACCTGTGTTCCTCGGCTTTCTGTCCCCGTAACAAACACCAAGACGATCGACAGCGGAGACCAGCCCACAGCTCTGACGGTTTCAGTCCACAGCCGGCCGGCTGTCCTTGCAGTTCTGGTCCTCTGGTGGCACATTGTGGTGGGAGTGTGTGGTGGTACAAATCGGTCACCTCCGGAAGAGAAGAAGGGGAGGTTCCCACTGTCCCCTGCCTCCAGGAACCGCCCCCAATGACCTCCGACTGCCCACTAGGCTCCACCTCTTCAAAATAGCACCAAGGGAGGGAAGATGACTTTTGAGTCTGTGCTTTGCGTGTTTGGGGATTTGTACCACTTACTGCATTGCTGATTCTAGGGGGAAAATAAAAGGTTGTGTTGTCTCGTTTTGCTATGTAGGCAAAGCTGGCCTCAAACTCATAGTGATCCTCCTGCCTCAGCCTCCCAAGTGCGAAATCACAGGCATGCACCACCATGCCCAGCAAAAGCATACTTTTATAAAGGAGATAGAGATCCATAGCTTCCTGTATTCTTGCGTTCTTTCAACCCTGCACCTTTTTTTATTTGGCATTTGGAGACAGGGTCTTGCCTGTGTAAGCCAGACTGGCCTTGAACTTGTGATCTTCCTGCCTCGGCCTCCCCTGTATCTATGATTATAAATGTGTGGCCTTCATCCAGCTTTTCCCGTATCCTTTCATTGAGGGTCCTCAGTGGCCAAGGCCTGGATATTGGAATGTCATAGACACGATTCCTATCCCCATGAGTTTGCAACCTATCAGAGAGGGTCGGACTTTAGCCAACAGGTAACTAGTTAGTGGACATGAAGAACAGGTTGTGAGGACAGAGAAGAGCAGGAGAAGCCTTCCCTACCTCGGGTGTCCAGGGAGGGTGTCTCAGAGGAGTTGGCACTGGAGCAGAGAAATGAAGGGGAGCACATGTCGAGGCAGAGGAAATGGCAAGTGCAAAAGCCCTGAGGTAGGATTGAACTTGGTGTGTTCGGGGGGACAGCAAGAAGGTCAGTGTGGAGTGGAGGACTGAAGGGCGGTGAGGTCAGAGGCATCTGGAGGAAAGTTTCTCAGGAAATCGAGTATTGCTTAGCAGATGGGAATCTAGGACATTCCTGGGGATGATGCTGGAGGTCAGAGAGGTCAGGGCCGAGACCCAAATCTAGGAAGCACCAGGCTGTTGTCATCGGAGTGACTGGGTGGGATAACATAAATGACACCGCTGCAGTCCTGCTACACTCACTGCACGCCAGGCCCTGTGCTACGGGCTCTACAGGTATTACTCAGAGTCACCGTCCAAGGCAGGAATTATTATAAAACCTGCTTTACAGATGTAGAAATCGAGGCACAGAGAGGTGAGGTGAGGTGACTGCCCAAGGTCACACAGCCTGCAAGTGGTGGAGCTGATCAGAGCCCCCACAAGTCCCCAGGGAGGGTGGTGCAGGTTAGCGCCACGCGCCTGGTGAGGCTGCTCACAGCCACCGGCCCCGCGGCTCCCTCTC